GATCAAACCAGGCATCAACTTTAACTTCAGCAGCTCCTGTGATGAGGGGGGAGGTCCAGGAGGAGCATGGAGCACCATGGGCAGGTGGAGGGGGGAGGAAGGGACTGGGACAAAGATGAAGGGGAAAATTGGGGGGGAGACTCACTTGTAGGGGGAGTGTTCAAATTTGGAAAAGTTGGCTTGGATTCGTCGTTGAAGCTCCTGGACCCTCCTCAGTCCTCCAGAGACTGGAGGCATGTTCTTGCTGACAGAAGAAGAACCTGAGGATGAAGAACCATCAGAACCATCATTCAGTAGAACTTCTTCTCACTGAACCGATCTATTTCCTGAACCTCACCCAGCTCTTCTATCAGATGGAAGTATTTGTTGTAGATCACTTTACAGTCATCCAGCTCCTTCTCAAACATGATGACCAGGAGGGGGAGTCTGTCCACAGCATGTGCAGCCACCAGGGGACGCTCAAGCAAACTGCCAAACATGTCTAAAACCTGCAGAGACCAGAGGCTGGTGAAGAAGATGCAGACATGTTTAAGGTTGATCCAGTTTGAGGAAAAACTAACAGACCTTGAAGGCAGAGTCGAGACCTGGGGCGTCGTCAAAAGCCCGACAGAAGATGGCCCCCAGACGCCGCTCCATGTCCTCTACCCTCAGTCTGAAGAAGCTCACATCCTCTTCAAACTCCTGCAGGGGACAAAGATCAGGGACTGAAACCAGAGAAGACACGTTCCTCAGTTCGTCCTTCACTGAACAACGATGCACGACGTCAGCAGAAACACAGAGGAACTAAACTGAGCTTCTTCATCTACAAACGTGGACAACACTCCAATCCTTTGAGCTGAACGTCTGAAGGTACCTTGTTGTGCAGGTCGAGGCAGTCATGAGGTTTCTCTGTAAAGACCCTGTAGGTATCTACAAACTCCTGGTGGAGCATCTGGACCTGATGGCTGAGAGCTCGCCCTCTGACTCCTCCAATCACCATCTTCTCCATCTTCAGCAGGTCCACAGCTGTGAGCAGGACCTCCTGCGGAGACATTTGGAGTCTTTACAGCAGACAATCGGCTGGTCCACTTCCAAATCAACTTAGAAGATGCTTCATACCTTAATGGTCTCAATCCTGTTCATGAAGTTGTCAAGTCTGAAGAAGATCAGACCTGGAGAAAAGTCCCAGGGCTTCACTGACTTTCCAGTCTTCTTGTTATGGTCCAGGTTGGACCTGCATTCTTCATATGAGC